GTAACGAACCGTAGTTAAGTCCGAAGTGCCGTTTTTGACTCTATATCGGTACTTTTGTAACAATGAAACATTACATAAACCTACATACACCACTAATCGTAATTTAATTTTTTGTGGCTTAGCCGTCTAATTGGTTTCAATAATATAAATACAGTAATTTATATACAGTCAAACTCTCTTTAAATGCACCCTTAAAGATTGTCTCAGCGCATTGAAAACCCACGGTAAGCTAAACTGTGGTAGTGATTATTTCTTATGAGAATAATTTATAATGTAACTTTTTGTCTATGAATCACTTAAAAAGTTTCTAGATTTCGATTCCAAAAAGGTGTTTTTAACAGATCAAAAGTTACTATTTTGAAACGTCCGAGATCGGGAAAAAAGCAACAAAAGTTGATTAATTAATTTAAGGTAAGCTATTTATTTTTTCGATTGATTAAACAGCCTGTGCTGCATTAGTTCTGTCATCAACTACCCTGTCAATTGCGATTGGCAGTGGGAAAAGGCCGCGGTCAGTTGGTGAGCTGCAGTGAGCTGTATGTTAGTGGGCTGTTAATGTTTCAACGACTACATTACTACAATGCAAGAGAAAGACTGCATGTTTTGTTCGTTGTTTCAGGCTGTTCAAATGTTTCTTCAAATTTTCTAACATTCTTTCTATAACAAGCTTGATAAAAATCGCAATCATTAATTCCTTTTTGGGATTTACAAACGAAGAGACAAACCATTAATATGGAGAGTAAGATACTTGAGGAGAAAGCTCAGTTGCAAGAAGTAAGTCGTCTTCGTGGTATATCCGAAATTAATAGCTTGTTGTTTTGACACACTTCCTAACAATATTTGATTTAATCTGGCAAAGAACGAACTAAAAAACAATATTCGTCTCGAACGGGTTAGTATGTTTACTTGATACCTTATTACATCCGAAACTAAATTACTTAGATTATTAACCAAAAAATCTGATCTTAATATTATTATTGTATGCTCCATTTAGACCCGAAATCAAGATCATTTACTCCGGGAAACAACTGCTAGACTGATTGAAAAAGATCTGTTGGATGAGTCATATGTAAAGAATTCAGGACAAAAGCGACCTTACTTTAAGGTTGTCAACAACGTTCTCTGACAAAAGAATGTTAAAAAGAAACGGGCATTTTAGCCTCTATAATTGTTATATATGAACTGTTTTGTTTTCCTTTGCTTAAGACAAAATCGAATGAAGATCCAAGAAAGAAAGTAAACAGGATCCAATGGAAAAAGTGAACTGCCTTGTCATAGTTCATTTTGATCCGATAAATTGGGTGAAGATTTTATTCCTGTGAACCTGACTCATTTTGTACCTGGGTACGTAGATCAGATTTTATTCCTGTGAATCTGACTCATTTTGTACCTGGGTACGTTAATCCAATTCATTTTGGTCCCGGGTACTTTATCCCGAACATTTGGTTTCGGGAAATTTTGATAGCAACAGTGAATGGTAGATTTAGAGATTTAGGATAGTATCATAATATATGTAATTAAACTTAATCTTGTAATTGTACTTATTATATACAATTGTTGAGCAAAGTATTTTTCCGGGGCAAGAATTGGATCCGGAACTGTTTCTCGAAGATTATGATCCGATAAATTGGGTGAAGATTTTATTCCTGTGAACCTGACTCATTTTGTACCTGGATACAGTGTTGTGACTGGGACGGGACATGTCCTTGGATGGGACAGTCTGGGACAGTCCAAAAAGACTTTATGATGTCTGGGACATTTTAGAATATATATATATATTGTAATTTTGAATAATTAGTAATTAATGGGACAATTATCTTGGGACAGCCTGGGACGTCACAGCTGGGACAGTCTGGGACATTAAAAATCTTGTGGGACGCTGTCCACCACATCACTGCCTGGGTATGTAAATCAAATTCATTTTGATCCCAGGTACTTGCTCCTGACTCTTTTTTATACTGATCCGAAACATTTAGTTTTGGGAAATTTTGATAGCAACAGTGAATGGTAGATTTAGAGATTTAGGATAGTATCATAATATATATAATTAAACTTAATCTTGTAATTATACTTACTAAATACAATTGTTGAGCAAAGTATTTTCCAGCGAATATAATGGGTAAATAAAATAATATATAGTCAAAGTTGGATATAATGATGTTTTTGTTTTATCTAAAAAATATCGGTATATCAAGATTTCATTATATCAAATTATCTTTATTTAACAATATAATAAAAGAAAAATATATAAATCGATATATATAAATTAATACAAAATAAGTTTTATAATTCAATACTATAATATATTATCAAGTCAAATATTATTATTACTATTATAATTCATAAATTG